CTTGGAGAGAAGGCTTGTCATTCAACTGCACATAAACACTGAAAATAAATCCACAATGAGTGTTACAACTGTGTGATTTTTTTTGGACCACTTACTGATGAATCCTTCCCCTAGTTTAGTTTTCCCCAGTGTCTGGAGGGCACCAGGTGGCAGAGGTGCCAGGAGGAGCTGGAATGATGCAATAGAGTGATGTAATTGGAGTTCAGGAGAAATGATCCCTGTTTAATTAGAGAGAACCATGAAATAGATTTGTCAACCCACACAATTTTCTAGGTAGACACTTGAAGGATGGAGGTGGCTTTAAAATCTGGCTGACTCACATTAGGCAAGAAGCAGATCACTTGGAACAGAGGAAATCTAAGCTTAATTAAAGTCTGCCTCTTCGACTAAGCTCTTTGATAGCATTTGTGTTTAGGGAACCAATTATACTTTTTCCTGAAATTAACTCTGGATAGGCTGTGAATCTGTAAATGAGATTTGGGCCAAATCAGTAATATTTATAAGATGGGTGTAGGGGAGGAATTCTGTGCAAAATTATCTCAGATCCCTCAGCTAAGCTTACCATGAGCAATAAAGATGAAAACAAAACAAACAAACAAACAAACAACCCCCCCCCCACCCTGGTTTTATTTTATATATTTATAGGGTGTCTATTAGGGCCAAACCTTCTCAAGGTGGCTAACATAAAGAAAGAATTTTTAATTCTTACTGTCATGTCAGCTGTCAGCCAGAAGATTTGTTACCTGAAGGAGCACTTACGTCCATATATGCCCGCCCGCCCCCTGAGATCTGTGGGAGAGGCCCTTCTCTGGGAACCCTCGTGAAGGAAATTAGGAGGGTAGGTACTCAGAGGAGGGCTTTCTCTGCGGTGGCGCCCAATCTATGGAATGCGCTCCCCAGAGAGGTCCGCCTGGCGCTGTTGTTATTTGTTTTCCGGCACCAGGCGAAGACCTTTTTATTCAAATGTCATTTTAACTGTTGCTAGTATTTATTTTATTCTTTGGCCAGGGCGACTTAATTTATACTGTTTATATTATTTTAACGAAGTTTATTTATGTTTGTGAGCCGCCCTGAGGCTTCGGCGAATGGGACGGCATAGAAATTTCCTAGATAAAATAAAAATAAATTTAAAATGCCCAGAAACACAGACAACATTAAATTAAAAGGGCAATGATCTGCTCCTCAAGAGAGTGGCTGGAGAGGTCCTGCTCGGTCTGTAGAGAGGGAAGCCTGCTGGTGGGGAGGCATGTGAGGGTGCACCCTGACTTGGAGCTCTTTTAGACAGGGCATCTCTGCTCTCCTCTGATGTTTTTTCTAGGCATAAAAGGCTGAAGCTGCAGGGCACAAGCCTGGCTGCGGGTGCACAGGCAGCGACTCAGGAACTGGTGAAGGCATGATCTGTGCTGAGTGGAGTTTGTGTTAGTTACATTGTAGGGATGGGGGTGGGCTGGAATTTTTGTATCTATAATACATTTGGATACCAAATTGACAGATATTTGTGTAAAAAGCACTACACTTAGCCAGATAATCTGATTGTAATCTGGAAGGACTAGGGGGATTCTGTGCTCACAGATCATGCCTGAACATACGACAAAAAGCAGAAGCAGAGAATGTGTAGCTCTTCGGATTTTATTAGACTGCATCCCCCACCAGTTCTGGCCAGCACAGCAAACCAAGGCAGCCAGACTGAGGCAGTCTGAGCATGAAAGACTAATTCTGGCCCCTTGCAGTGGCTTCCTAGATGTTTCCAATCCCAATTCAATGTGCTGGTTTGGTCCAGCTGGGATAGGGTGTGGCAAGGGATGCAGCCCTGCCACCCCAACTGTAGAGGGAAGAGCGGCGAGGAACGGGTCCCTTGAAGCTGGCTTCTTGAAGCATGCTACTTGTGTTTCCAGCACAGCTACGTGTGATGGGATCCACTGTGCATGGATCCAACAGAGCCACGTACAGAAGCCCATCAGCAGTGCTCGTGGTTCACCCGGAACCACAAAGGGGTGATGGGTCAAACCAAGCCAACACGGGGTCACAAAGCAGTCTTTATGGGCTTGGATGGGATGAAAGTTCAATCCCTGGGAACTCCAGCTGGGCTAGGAAAAGACTAATAAATATATTTTATAATAAGTGTTTAAGGAATAAAGATTCAGAACCTCTAAGCTGCAGACCAGGACACCGAACAATGCAACACACACACACCCATTACATATGCATTACCTTTTCCCCCTCCCTAGGCAAGGCCTAGATAACTGATGATTATACTCCAATTGCAAATGAATGTATATTCCCATGCCATGCCTAGGGAAGCAGCTCCATTTCTCCACTCTCTTGAAAAAAACATTTAACAGCTGTGCTCAATTGAGTGCAAAATGTGGAGTGTAATCGTGGGACCATTTTACACTTATTTCATGATACCTTGGAGACACGGTATCAAAGTGTAGGCAAACCATCTGTAAGATCAAAGTTTCTCTTGAATCATATTAATAAATAGGGAAACATGCTTTTGCTTTCTGGTGCATGTACAAACTTACTATCAAGCTTTAACACATAGTAGTGGGATTATCAACAGATACAGTTTATGGTTTTTCAAACCTTATTCCCCTCTTCCTTGTTTTTAAAAACTTATCACTCTAGCTGGGATTCCTACCTACCCCTCAAAGGAGCATGACTCCTCAGATACCCATTTCGCCATCTGTAAAGATTGACTATTACATGTAAGGAGGGTCTTTAACTGAATTTGTAACACTCTGGGAGAGCAGGATCCTTTACTTTGAAGAGCTGAAATGAACAGTCTACAGTTTGCAGGGCAGAGTATGGACTGAGGGGCTGCAAGGAGCTCTCCAAATGTTTTGAACATTTAACTCCTGTATCCCTGGCCATTGGCCGCACTGGCAGGAGCCTCTGGACGTTGAAGTCCAAAACGTAGGGAGAGCAAGTTGCTTCCTGCCCACCTGCATTCAAGTATACATGTATTCAAGAGGTCTTAGGGAAAGGATGCATTCCCTCTCCTCTGAAAAGTAGGGGCGCATCGCACTGGCACAACCTCCACTGGGATTAGTGAGACCTGTAGAAGAAAACTTCCCAGCCAATCGTGCCCGTAGCTGTGCAGACTGCACGGCTGGCTGGCTGTGGCACTGTCTACAAAGAAGTCACCAGGACCAGGGGAGATTACAGACAGACAGATGGGGGAGGGGATTTGGTTTGGGCTTTATTGGGAGAAACTGGCCCTGTTGATCATAATCGCCCCCACTGTGAACCTTGCTTCTGCCATGACCTCATTTGGCAGACCTCTTGCTCTCCTTGAGCCTCAGTTGCTCCAATTGTGATATTGGTGACGCTGACTCACAGTACAGGGCTGTTGTAAAGACAACTAGACAAGGTATACAATATTTTTAAGCACTTAAGAGTGCCATAGGATGCTAATTATGATCAGAACAAAACAAACAGTCACATTCTCAGAGTGCCTGGTGCACCTCCCATCACTGCAGTGACTGCACTATGAATAGTGAATATTTAAATGTCCCCTGAAAATTTGCATGGGGTCCTAAAATTAGAAATGTTGGTTACATTGACCCCAGTGCATCTTGACCCCAAATGTGTATTTAGAATTATTCAGTGATGAGTCTTGATTTTTAACACCAATTAAAGTCCACACTGGTTTTTGCTTTTAAAGTAGCATTTTGGGTTCTACAGATGAATTCCAGCAAATCATTAGTCTTCCTCTGTAAGCCACAAACAGAATTATTACAGAATTTTTGCATGATCTGGAGAATTTATGCATTTTCTGTATGCACTGTGCACTATGTTCCAACTACATCAGTTTCCTATGTGCCACCCTCCCATCTTTAAGGGGCGTGGTTTTGACATGCTCAGTGACTTGCCAAGCAGAGGAACTTCTCAAAACTCAGGCACACATTTCCATTACACATTTGAGGAGGATGCCTTTTTTCATGTTTTAAAATAATAACTGCAATGTCAATCTTTTGACACAACTTTAAACCATTTTCCAGCTTTCTTAAAATTACAGTAGTAAAAACACTTACGCTGTTTATTATGCTAAATTCCAATAATAATATAATGCAACACAGGGACGCAGGATCCTTTTCACTTACCATTATAGCAAAGAGGTGGGCAATGATATACTTCTAAAATGCTAGTATTTTTAATATCTGTATTTTTAGTCACCAACATTTTAGCAAGGTGGGTAATGGAGGTGACCAAAAATATGTTTCGCTTTTAAATTATTTTGAAAATGGACATGTTCTACTGCTAATTAAAAATAAGAACTTTCCAGTCATTCTCATTAGCTGTCTTGCTAAAATAGTGAGTTTTGCTATTTTTCAGGTCATACTACTATAAAACTTACACTAAAATAGCAAAATATAATTTATTCATTATTTTAAGAAGTGCCAGAAAATTACAGTGCTAATCAGAGATGATGCCTACAGCAAATGTGCATTTATTACAGATCCACCCACCTGGTTGGTCACTGTCTCTTAAACTGTTCTTCCTAAAAAGAAGTGCTCGGGGCATCCACCCCTTTGTACACAGTACACTGCAGCTCTGATAAGACAAGATGACGCAGCACTGCGAAAACACTGAAGCATTACAAATTTATGACAACCGTGTGGAATGAAGGATCCATGGCAAAGCTGCCTAAAAGCAGCTTCTTTATTCCTATGCTGTGTCTGGTATTTTGAGTGAGCTTTCCCTTTTTATTTCATGCTGTGGCCAACAGATGCTAGAAAACTGACCCTTTTCCCGATATTAGTCATACCATGCAATCCTTAGTTTGGCACTACAGCAAATTGGTTATCAGTTTGTTAATGGCAGCAACCATTTATCAGTCAAAAGAACTCTTTCCAGTTGCAAAAATAAACAAAAAATAAATTTTAATCTACCCAACTTATAGGAGTCCTTATGGAAATGTTAGACTTTGTAGTTGGTCTGTGCTGAGAGCATGCTGGCCCTCTCCTGTTAACAGAAGCTCAATAAGACCAGAGACACAGAATTGCATTATTTTATTTTTCCTTCAGTCAATCCTTAGCATGGTGATACCACACTGTTTCAACCCTTTCCTGTAGGGAAACAAGGATGACTACTTGAGAAGCAATGCAGAGTTTAAAAACTTGAAAGCACAATTTGACTTGAGTTTCTCATATAGCAAAGAGATGAAAACAAAAAGCAGACAGCTACAACCAAAAATTCCCTTGTGACAACTCCATTTCAGCTACTCCGAGTCTTCATCTTTTGCATGTATTTTTGTGGCTCTTCCAAAGCACCGTCAGTTCCATGATGTCTAAAACTCACTAGAACAGCAACTTCCCCCAATACAACCAAAAGGCATTCAACAAAATACATATGCTTGTAAGTGCCCACACCAGCTGCAAGCAGAGTTGCAAATGCAGTTGGGACAGCAATGACAACATCCGCACGGTCTTCTTTTTAAGCAGGAATGCATGCCAATTTATAGGTCAGCACAAGGTTTCTTCAAAGAGAAAGTGCAGGTCAAACATAAAAAGGATAAAGGAACATGGCTTTGAGGGTACACAACTGGTAGGTATAAAAATACAGGTGAATAAGAGTTGCAGTTCTAGTTCTCAACATATCGAAGCTCATATTCATTTTGCAAAATGCTTCAGATACACTCCAGTAGGATCCTTACCTTAGTTCTATTCAATCAGCCTCCCGCAAGATGGGCTGCTACAGAAGTTTTGGCCTCCTAGTTCGTATCAGCCATAGCCAATGGGCGTTGCTGTTCAAACATCTACGAGGAACCAGGCAGGCTGCACTAGACTGGTCATGGTGATTTGGTACTGCTTATCTTAGGGTCAGTTTTCACAGCAGTTTTGCCTGGAGTTAGCAACTGAGCCAAGCTGGATGGCACAGCAAGGTGATGTTCATCTCCAGTTCACGGTAATCACGTTTAAAAATACTCTTTCAGCCATGAACATCTACATCTGAAACAACTCCCTCCCCATTGCAGCAATTTGGTAAAGATGGAGAACAGTCATCCTATTAAGACCCTAGGTAGTTGGGTATTCTCATACCCAACTACCTAGGAATAAGGCACTTAGGGTTTGGGATTACCTTTACTTCTGAACAGACCTGTGTAGGACTGCTGTGCAGGTTTGCAATGCAAGTCAGTTAAGTTCCACTGAGATGCAGCCCTCTTAAGCACTGCATTGCTAAAGGGTTAATTCTATCAGCAGACTTTGGTCTAGGTAGCTCCTAATCCCCTTGCACTATTTGAGCTACAATAGGGAGAAATATCTGGTGGACAAACAAGCTTCACTTCTGTACATTCCTCTTATCTTCCGAAATTAAGTCAAAGCCCAGGACAGAGTTCAAAAGGCAAGGCTGTTCAACAGCCTCACGATAAAGCTACTGCTAGCGATGCAAGAACTGCTGCCTCAACACAAGAGGTTTACCCTCCTCCTCTACCCAAGTCAAGCCGCTGCAAGTTGTCACATAAGTACTTGCATTCTTGACCAAATCCCCATGGAGGGAGCTGGGCTGTGCTGTGTGGTGAAAGCGAGTAAAATCCTGTTTGGAGGAGGAGGGATCTTGTAAAGTTAACGGTTCAATGCCCTCTTAGACAGTATTTCTCTTGGAGGCATTGATGGAAGCAAGGACATAGAAAAGCAGACAATGGCTCTATTTCGCCATTCTCAGCCAAGCAGTTTAGAAACAAGGAATGCTCCAGTAACTATGGAAGAGTCTATAGTGCATATAGAATTCTTAGCTGCTAAGCAGACAATTCCTGCCCACCTGGTTTTAAAAATTGCTTATTTGCTTTCCACTGCTTTCCACTTGTAATAACACGTTTAAAAATGGTTTCATAACTGAAACATACTCCTGGTCCCTTTGTTTTGGCAAACAAGCTGCCAACTACAAAATATCTGTCCATGTCATTGCCTGCGATGGTTTATTTTATGACGGCTTCTTTGGCTGGGTCGTGCCAACTCCTGTGCCGTTAATCTTTCAGAGCCCAACTGGACAGAGCACCTTTCATCTTCAAGTAACATGCATGATTCACAGCTAAGCTGCCCAGCTGCAACAGAGAGAATGCTTAAGTTTTTAGGAGACATTCCTTATGTTGTACTTTGCCAATGGCCAGGAAGCCTCCAAACATCTCCTGGGAAGCATAAGTCATGTAGACAAAGCCATCTTCATCTCTGTAATCCCGGTATACTTCGGCAAGGGTGAGAGACATACTTGCTAAACTCTTGTTGTTTACCAGCAGGTAGAAAGCTTGAGTAGCACTCAGTGCCATTCTGCTTCTGGATAAAATAGAAAACACAGTTAAAATGTACAAGTTTTTTCATTGTGTGTCTCCTAATATTCCAAGATGCTGGTTTTGTTACATTGGTCATAGCAAGTCAGCCAGACTCGTTTACCATAGGCACAGAATTCACATGTGCTGCCATCCATTGTAAATGGTTTGTGCCCACTTAAGCAGCCAGATTCCTTAGCAGACAATATCAGAAGCAGGGGCTCTATCCTTTCCAATCACCATTTCCATGTATATAGTGGCACCATTTGAAGGTGAGCAAGCCATTCACAGTTGATTGCTTTATGCTTATATTTCTCTTTCAAACTCTAATATTTTTGTATTTAAAACATGAGGCTGGTTCAAGCACAGACTGACTAGCGATGTGCACAATGTAAACATCTGTTCAAGGCAAAATAATCAGGCAATCATATATAAAGTTGTGCAAACCAGTGATTGTTCACACAGATCTTGGGGGCTTTCAGCTGTTCAGAGTTGTCAAATGAGCCAGGAATTACATTGAGATGCAGCATTATATTAATACTGAACTTATGTAGATAAAATACAAAGCTTTCAGATAAGCATGATTACATAGCCATTTTCCAATGTACTGGGATCCATCACTGTAAGACTAGTTAGCAAGGTCACATGCATTGTTGATCTCAGGTATGAAACTTGGTAGCCAAATGCCTTTTTTATGCAGCCATAACACACTGTATGGTAGAATCAGCTGCATCTATTTTTAAAGGAGATGTTTCTCTCTCATTAAATCCTACTTTTTGAAAGTTTCTATCTAACACCTGGGATTTAAGCACATGTGACTGGACTGGTGCAAGCAGATTTCACCGTCCTTCTGCTCATGATGGGTCCTCTGGTTCCTTAAATATGCTACACAGAGGGCCAGGGGAACTTCCGTGAGCAGAGCCCTCCCATGCATGGAAGGCATACCTGGGATCTAAAGCCGTGTCTTTGCAATTCTGTGCAGCAGGTCAGCCTGAATATTTTATTCTGTACAGTGTGGATGCAAAGCACAAGTGGTGTTTCACCCGCCCCCCCCCCCCCCCGAGAAGCCAAGGGTGGGGCTTCAGGCTTAACTTCAGTCACGTTACATGGGAACAAGTCCCACTGAACACAGCAAGATGTTCTCTGGAGCAAATCACTAACAGCATCGCATTGCTAGCTTTGCAGGGTCGGCTGGGAGACGGCAGCTCAAGCAAGACCAATATGTCACCACAGGGCCCGTCAGATGTTCTGCTTGAATGCATGAGGCTGGGGAGACTTTTCCGTGGCAAACCCTGCTTAGCACCCATGGGACAGCAATCAAGCCACAGCAAGTTCAGCCTGGGTGCTTTGCACATGTGCTTCCTCCTTCCCTCCCCTCCTTTCCTTCTTGCACTGCAGCTAAACAATTTCAGCTTTTGCTAAATCATGTTTTCCTGTTATAACAAAACTGGATCAGATAACAAATCAGGCTATGAAATGAGGATCTGATTCTGGTTTATAGCCCAAAGTTAAGCCTTGGGTTTCCAGTTTGGGTGTAAGTGGAAGCCATGGTTCTTTAATTGGCTGCAGGAGGAGAAGGGGAGGGGTGCATATGCAAGAGCAAAACTGGTCTAATAAGTCAGTTTATTGGACTGAGATAGTTGCTTCTGATGTGTTTGTTGAGATCAGCAACAGATGCCCTTCTCCAGGAACCCTCTGTGAATATTAGGAGGGTGAGTACCCGGAGGAGGGCTTTCTCTGTGGTGGCACCCTACCTATGGAATGCGCTCCCCAGAGAGGTCTGCCTGGCGCCATCATTATTTGTTTTTTGATGCCAGGCTAAGACCTTTTTATTTAAAACTTATTTTAATTGTTAATTTATTATGTAGGTTTTTTAAAAAAAATTTAAAGCCGAGATGCACTGGCTTTTAATATTTTTATTGTATAATTTTTATATGGTTTTGTTTTTGTTGTGAGCCGCCCTGAGGCTTTGTTGTGATGGGGGCGGCATAGAAATGTTTTAAATAATAATAATAATAATAATAATAATAATAATAATAATGATAATGTGGAAGCAGGCCCCAAGGCTCGCAATTTAGCAATGATGTGGAGCTGGATGTTCCTGGGCTTTTGGGGGTCAAGACACTTAACAGGCTTCCTACCCAAAACCCTACACAGATAAGATCCTATAGGTAGCAAGGGGAGAACGCCAGCTGCACATTTTAGGAAAGATCCAACTATCTATAATGTAAACTCAGTGTGGTATAATGGTTAGAGTACTGAAGGGGAATTTGGGAGATCAAGACCTTTTCTGTTTTTCCCAGGGGGGGAATACACCCAGAGATGAGAGATAAGAGACACTTCTGGGAATAGAAGGGCACTGCAAGATTACCTTTTCCTCCTTATCTGGATGAAGGAAACAAGCAGCTACTGCTGAAAAAAGCAAATTTTGTCTTTAGAAAAACATGGGGGTTTGGAGGGGTTGTCTTAAAGTAGAAGAACAGCACGACGTGACACTGTTTTGTTAGCAAAGACAAAAGGATGGCACTGCAGAAAGTCAATACCTGTCTAATGAGTTCCTAACCCTCTACTATGAAAAGGTTGTGAACTAAAAAAGCACACAATGTGTAAGTCACAAAGATCAGTCTGCTCGCTACAGATCAAGGGCAGATTGCTGAAACGCAGCACATTTTCTGCATCTAGCTTTGCACAGAGGCTGGAGCTTGGGGTCCTTTTTAGTTTTCTTGCACTCTTTGGTTGCACATGTTGGAGACTTGCATCACAAGGAAAAGAGCGTAAGAAAAATGCCAAAAACTCATCAGTGTACAAGCTACTGCAGTGCACGGATTACAGAACTGAACTGGAACTTGGAAGACCTGGATTCTAGTTTGCATTTGTCCATGACCTCATGGCCACTGGGTGACCTCAGGCCAATCACTCACTGTCAGAATATCCTACCTTATGGGGTTGTTGTGGAATGAAATGGAAAGTATGCAACTATGCGAGCCTTTTTGGGCATTGTGGGGAGAATATGGAAGGGGAAAGATGACAAGATGGTGAAAAGTGTCTGCGTATTCAGAGTTTCAAGATGAAGTGAGAGTGAGGAATCTGCAGGCCATACAACTGTTTCAGGCTGGACCTGCAGTTTTCCCAGGAATGGTTGGAAAACAGAAAGGGAAAACTGTGGAATCCCTCCTTCTGAAAATATAAAATTCAGAAAGGTTTCCTGTAATATGGACTTTGGAACAATCTTATGTTTCTCTTACTTAAAATGGGCAAGCATCTTCCTAAAACTGAAGAGTCTCTAAAATCTTGCGGTCACCACACACTCCATGCTCTTGTAGACAGAAGTTGCTTCTAGATTAGCTTTTTTCCTGTATCATTTCCCTGCCTCATTAACAAAGTTTTATGGGATGACTGGCTTCAGAGATCATCATCTTTCATGTATTCCTGTTCCATGTTTTCCCACTACTTTTCTTTTTTCTTTTTACTGACAAAAAGATGAAATGCCTGCACAATGCCTTCTGATTGCTAACAGTAAGAGCCAACATTTGGAAGCATCCTGTATAGAAGGACTGAAGCTGAAATATTCTGGGTTCAAGTACAGCATTTCCACTGAAATCATCTCGCCTGGCATAAATTGGGCAAGGCAGTCTATGATGTTGAAGGACTGCTGTTCATTAGAATTAAATCATTCCATAGTTATACCTAGGATAGTATTGGGGTTACATCCACCAGAAAGTCGGGACTCTAGAGGAATACTGGATCAGTAGGTATGGGCTTTTTTTTTTCAAACACAGGGTTCTTTGGATCTCTATTTCATAAGTATTTATTAATTAGATTTATATCCCACCTTTTTCTCACAAAGAACTCAAAACAGCTTACATCATTCTCCCCTTCTTGCCCTCAATCTTATCCCCACAACAACAGCCCTGTGAGGTAGGTTGGGATGAGTGGCTGTGACTGGGCCAAAGTCACCCAGTTGGTTCCATAACTGATCGGGGTCTAGAACCCAGACTGCCTGAGTCCCAGACCTACACTTTAAACCACCACAATGGCTTTCACCTAGGTGGCTCCCACCCCTGGTCATGGCAGTTTTTGCAACTTAGGAATTTTCGAAAGCAGTTTGCAACATCACATAAGAAATCAATTTGCCCTAAATAAAGCACAACATAGCGGGAATAAATCTGGAACTTGAAGGAAAAAATAGCTCTCTAGGTTTGGGTTCAGAATAAAGGTAGACCCAAATCTTTGTAATGATCATTTCCCATGTTTTAAACACCACGTCTTTATATATTTGGTAAAAACTTGCCAAGGCTCAGGCACCCCTGAAACCAGGCTTAAGAATCCAGGTTGCTTCTTCAAAAGAGTGGCTGGAAGTAAATGGAAACATATTAATCCAGCATAGATTTCTCACTGCAACTTTGTGCAAATAAGGAGGAATAATTTGCAAGGAGGCTCAAAATGACTGCGTCACATCAAAGCATCAGTGGGAGGAGGGGAAGAGTAACAGAAAGGTGTTGGGTAACAGAGTCCACATTAGCACATAGTCCCCAAGTTTTCCAGAGGCCCTGCACCAAAAATAGACTACAGGAGCGAGCGTGCACAAAAACACGAATCCCCAACAAAATGAAGAGCCCATGAATGGCTTATTACTTACCGTATGATGGTTATGAACTGTGTCATGGTCAGCTCCTGAGGTACAAGAAACTTTGTTTTGTCTAGCAGAGGCAGGTATTTTTCTTTCTGATACCTTTCAACTATTACCTGTTTTATAATACAAGAATTAAACAGATTTTATTACAAAGTCATATAAAGACAAATGCAGCAATACTAAGCACACCTCCTACATTGCAAGTCCTGCTGATGTCAATTTTTATTTTATTTATTGTATTTATAACTCTCCTTTCCTCCACTCGAGGAACTGAAGGCAGCTTGCATAAATCTTCTCTTCCTCCTCTCAATCTTTTCAACGATACTTGCTACCGAGTAAATGTGCTAAGAATCAGCCAGAACTCTATTTAAAATATGCAAGTATCAGGAGTTAGTGCAGCAAGTAATTAGCGAAACACTTACAGGGACTTTCGTTGGGAATTTCCCTCGAATGCCTGCAACTTCTTCCACTCTGGTTGCTGTGCAAAAGAAAGGCAAGGGTCAGCCACCTGCATTTTGGACACTGCAATCTTGTACAGGCCTACTCCAAAGTAAGCCCGACGGACATCTCTCGGATTTACGTCCAGCTAAGCGCGCATCGCAACGCTACAATCCCAAACACGCTGCTTAAGATGCGTCTCCATAGAAACGAAAAGAGCCCCCCCCCCCGCAAAAAACTGGCGTCTTTCGCTTAGGTAAAAGCAGAGGCTTAAGTCCTCTTGGCTGGAATTGACCTGGACTGCGCCCTCATACGGACCCTCTGGAGTTATCCTCAGTCCTGTCCCCGGCAAGTCGGCTAAGTATCACCCCCAGCGAGTTCAGTGCGGCTTATTCCTCTGCCTCTTACACGGCAGCCGATACGACGGCAGCCCTATTTCTAGGCAACCCCACAACCCGATCGCAGTAAGCTCCACTTCTCCCCCCAGCAACTTACCGAAACTCTTCCTTTGTTTAAACGGCCGGGCATGGTGGCAGCTATGCAAAGGCTGCATTTCACCGCCCCCTCCCCGGCGAGGGGCTGCCCCTTACAAATAAGGACCGCTCTTGCGTCCAACTGGAGCGCGCTTTAAAAGGGCCCCTTATAAAGCCCTGCCGGCGACATTAGCGGCGCCGCCGCCCAGGCCGCGCCCGCACGTCCCCGGGCGCGCCTTCCCCTCGCCGCCCGGCCCACGGGAGGGGCGCCGCGGGGCGGAGCGCGGCTGCAAAGGGGGCCGATGCGCCGGGCGCGCCCACAGGCGCCCCTTCTCGGCCCCGCGCAGATGGCGTCACTGTGAGCTTCCGTGCGGTGGCGCAGGAAATCTTGGAAGATACGACCTGGAAAGAACATGTGATCCGGTTCTCATGCGAATTGTCTTTCGGATGGACAGCCTTTGTTATTACCTTGCTGCTTCTCGCTCGCTGCCAGCAGAAGGGTTTCATAGGGCGCAATCCTATGCACGCTGAGACAAACAAAAAAAGTCCTGCAAGTCCCAGCGTCCCCAGTGAACTGGGACTCGCGGTTTTTTTTTTGGTCTGTCTCAGCATGTATAGGATTGCGGCCACCAAGACCTAAAGAGTCAGGCTGCAATCCGATGACCCGGCTTTCGGAAGATAAGGAGCTGCTGTTGAACTGAATGGGGCTTACTTCCCATTAAACATGCAGAGACCACCTGCCCTTACGGTTCACGTGATCTACAAAAATTCTTTGAGTGATTCAGTCCGTGCCTTCTTTCTTGTGGACCAAGAAGTTGGCATGTATTGCCCCCTCTTTATTTTAAAGACCAGATGCCTTTTTAATGTGTGTTTACATACATCATTATTACCTTTATACCCCAATTTTCCTACTCTTGCACAGAAGCCAATCTGGCTCACGTTGGCCTACTCTCCATGTTATCCTCCTAACAACCCTGTGATGTAAATTAGTCTGAGAGTCTGGGACTAACCCCAGATCACCCTGCTGCTTCATGACCACGTGGGGACTAGAACATGGCTCTACTAAGACCCTGCCCAATACTGTAAGCTCTGTAGTTAGCTCCTGTTAAATGGGTTCCTGTTCTTTTGTTTTGTGCATTCATAGTGGAAGGACAGCACTTAAGAGGGGCAGAAATAAGTTCCAATTCAGCCTATCTGCTCCAGCCATCACTTGTTTTCCACCTCTGCTTATCCAGCAGTGGGAAGGCTCTTGGAAAGCTCTTCAAACACAAAAAGTTACTGAAGGGCAGCCCGATGCAAATTTAGACAGACAAATGTCTGCAATTCCCCTGCTGAACTCTGTGGGGCTTCTGAAATTTCATTGAAAGTGTGCTTACAGATATTTCTGGCCTACCAAGGTTCATTGTAAGGTATGCAGTTTTCTCTACAATTGATAATGGCCGGATGCTTCCATTTCTCATATATTAAATGAAAATTTCCCATGACCTAAAGCACTCTAAGGAAACAACAGCAAATATTTTCTCTTTCTTTTGTTTCTAATAATGGGTGTGCGTGTCATTCACTCCATAAGCTTAGCGTGGGATTCCTAGAACAGATGCCGAGTGAATTGATATTGAAGCAGGTTTCTATTCTATGGTGAATTGATTGGGATCAACATAACATGGCTTAATATGTGCGGAAATTTCCGTGGTGCAGCCATTTCCTAAGTAAATCCCCTGTAAAGTGCCCTTGAAATGCAGACTTTCTAACAGCGAGAGTTCTTTTTTCCACAGGCTCATCTAACAGATTTGCAGTCACTTAAGCTGAGGTGTTAACTGCAACTTAAACTATGGGAAGCGTTTTACTGAGCTGTGTCTAGCAAAAGTGCATAAAAACCTGTGCTGCATTTATCATGTGTAACTTAGAAAATGTTCACCCATGAGCTATTACAGTATAAAATATTAAACAATGGCAAAGGAAAGAAAGCTGATTGTAGCTGATGAAAATCAGACTCAAATATACATTTTATAGTATCATGTGAAGAAAAACCATTAACTGACCTGCACACAAATGTGGCCACAAATGTGACATGGCTTCTAAGGGGAACATGGAATGGGCACCACAGAGTTCTTTGGTTTTCAAAACTCATTAAGGGATCATCCTATGCATCCTAAGCAGAAAACGGCTTATAACGTCCAGCATTCCCCAGCAGAATTTTGTGGCTTTTGGTCATATTTTATTTATTTAAACATTTGTATACCATCCATTAGCCAAAGAAGGCTCCCTGGACAGTTCACAGCATTAAAATATATAATAATCAATAACATACAAAATCACAAAAATAGTCCATCCCATAAAAACGACATTATATGCATAGTATGCCCACCACGAACCCAGCAAACCCCACTCAGCCCAGTATGTGGGCCATGCTGGAGGAACCTGGGCAGAAGAGAAGAGGTGTCCCAGCATATGGCTGGGTAGACTAATGAGAGTTAAACATTATTGTAAGATAGTGTGAAAACATCACAACAGTAAAAGATAATTAAAAAAACAGTTTAAAAGGCTTGCCCAAGAATGAAAGGCACCTGGCTAAAGAACAGGGTTTTTAAAGGCCTCTGTAAAGAGGGCTGTCTTGACCTGATGCAGAAAAGATGGCAAATTCTATTCCAGGTGGATCACAGCAGGGAGGTTATTCCAAAGACTGTTTCCCCCATGACTCAATTATTTGAAAGAAAAGGTGCAGGAACCCCCCCCCCCCACACCACACACACAGAGGCTGCAATAGATCTAAGCAGGCATAGGACTGTACTTTAATTACTTTAAAATAATTTAAATGGGTCCCTGTTCTTGTGTTTCTGTTTGCAGCTTGCAGTACCACCTTCACTCACTGGGTGGCAGATTTCTCTACCCAGCACCTGGCTTTGCAGTTGAGACAGTGGCTGGGTTCCTACAACAGAACAAGTGACCCTGGGTCAGCTTTTACCATGGTCTTTCTGACAGGCCATCAAGTGGGGGTTTTGGACCTATAGATTTACCTTCAGTAAATACACACATTTTGTAACTGTATATCCTCCTGTATTGGTCATCCTTCATAGAATCATAGAATAGTAGAGTTGGAAGGGGCCATGAAGGCCATCGGGTCCAACTCCCTGCTGTTGCAGGACACCAAATTACACCATCCCACTCAGATGGCTGCCCAGTTTCTTTTTGAATGTCTCTAGTGTGGAAGAGCCTACCACATCTCTAGGCAGCTGCTTCCCCTGTCGTATTGCTCTGACAGTGAGGAAGCTTTTCCTGGTATCTAGTCTGAATCTGGGTTGTTGCAGCTTGACTTGATTATTCTGTGTCCTACACTCTGGTATCAGTGAGAAGAGATCTTGACCTTCCTCTTTGTGACAGCCTTTGAGGTACTTATGGAGGGCTATCATGTCCCCCTTCAGTCTCCTCTCAGTCTCTCCTCATAGGGCAATGTTTCCAAACCCCAAATCCTTCTGCGTGCCAAACACAGCAAGGGTATGACCTCTCCTCAGGGACATGCGATTTTGCCCTTGTTCTGCTTATCAGGGCTTGGGTGGGTCTTCAATTACGTGATCAAATGACTTAGCAGTGTACCTTTTGCATGGATATGGATTGCTGAACAAAATGTTCCACAGACATTTCATGGAAGTCTAAATTTCAGTAATTTCAGTTAGGAGTGATGTCAGGCCCTTCCTAATACGACTAACATGTGAAGGTGCTGCATAGTGAGGCAGACCATGGGTCCATGTAGCTCAGCATTTTACATCTGATGGCAGTAACACTCCAGGGTTTCAGAGGGTAATCTTTCTAGCCCAGCACCCCCTGTAAATCTTAAAACCTGCATGTGCTGCAGGCCCATGTAGGAACACATTTCACCTGGGCAGTCATAGCCATTCTGGTCTCTGTAGCTGCCATTTTCCAAGATGGCTGACATGCACATGGGAATATACAATAACTCATGCATGAATGCATGTTGTCCCTTTGAGGGCAAAATATCCATTTTAAGTTGAGGTGGGAGGAAGCACTATTAGTAGTTGCTGTTATCACTTGAATGGTCTAGTAGAGAAAATATCAGACTTGGAGCAAAAAGTTACATTCAGTGCTCAATCCACCAGATACACTGCTCAGTCCACTGGAGTCCACTGGATACACTTGGGCCAGTCTCCATTTCTTAGTATAATCTACTTCAGCAAGATTGCTGAGAGAATAAAAGGTACAGGATGAGAGGATAAGCGTGGAACCTGGGGTTTCTTGGCGACAGGGTGGAATAAAAGTGAAGTAAGTAAGTAAATAAATGTTTAGTCACATTGATTCAGAGACAACATTTAAACAATAGCATCTGACTGATGACGGTAAGTTTTTTTAAAAATCTTGGGTTTATTATTTAAGATGCATTGTGACTCAATTTTTGTATCTGCATACAATGCAGCAAATTATGGGCAATCTCTTGCATTGGTACATTTTTGCTTGTAATGTTTAGTACCCACACATGGTCATCAGTTTCTTGTGTAAAGGCATCCGTTTGCAAATGCCATTATCTCTTCCCAGATACGGTCCAGTGGATTCAGCATCAGGTAGGCATCAGAACCAAGAGGGTGAATGATTCTGTGATGGCAGTGGATACTTTTCAGATTGAGATGTGATGCAACTGGATGCAGTTCGACTAGATATGTGCTTGCCTTAGAAGATGAAAACAACTGTAGGCTGGATGCCAACAGCCTTTCCTGGGAAAGGTGCTTCGTTAGTAGCTGATGAATTCTAGACACTCTTGGATTCAAATGATTTTCTAAATCCATTTTGGATTAGCTCCAGGCCTGGTTTTGGAACCAAAACTGCTTTAGTTACTCTGTGGGGTGACGTGCTGGGAGAGGAAGCATGGCCCTGTTGGTTCTCTTAGCTTTCTCAGAGGCTTTTGAATTCATTGACCATGGTGTCCTTCTGGTGTGCTGAGCTGGGATGCGAGGCTGCTCTTTTGCAGCGATTCTGCTCCTGCTTTGATGGGGCCGAAGGACCATTGCTCTCCTCTGAGCAGTTTCTTAGCCCTCCCATGCTTTTCACCATCTATATGAAACCACTGAAAGGTTAGTTGGGGCTGTGC